TATGAAATGTTTAGGTGGAAGCTAGCGAGCTAACTTCCTGCTAACTTCTAATTCCGTTAAATGTAATAAATTCTGTTTTCATGGATGCCTGGATGTTAAACTTAATTGTTACACCTGGTAAAGCAGCAACGCTGATGATTTAATTAAAGATGAAAGAATTCAGACCGTTTTTAACTCTCAGTGTTCGTTTGACTTTGGGACCTGAAGTGGACGGCGTTTTGGACCCAGATTACTCCGCGAAGCTCCTCACCACAGCCGCCGTAATGCTCTGACAATCCATCAAGCAGCGCGGCTTACCAAAGTTGTACTAAAACATTTTTAACAGATTTCTGCAGTCAAAATCGGTTCGAGGTCAGTAAGCACAACCAGAATTCATACATGAGGCACACTCTCAATTTTTGAGAAAATTAAAGGATTTTAAGTGTGGAAAATACGTTATACAGAAGAAAAGAACATATCGTGATATATATCGTTACCGCACATGCTTCAAATTATATTGCGATATGGATTTTAGGCCATATCGCCCAGCCCTAACTACTAACATCTGGAACAGGCACCATCAATTCAGGCCGTCCTGTCTTAAGTTCTTGAGTGATGCATCAGGAGGATGCTAACACAGAGCACAAAGATCCAACCTGCACAGGTGTGAAACAGATCCTTCTAATGCCAATGAAACAAACCCTTCCTGTCTCCATGTTTGACACACACATGTCCCAGAAGGTGAGCATTACCTGAATAACAATAATAATGATAATTATAATACTGATGATGATGATCAGTAGACAGTGCAGTTTCTGGGGAAACTGTGGTAGTGCTGTTGTTGCAGCAGGACACATGTCTGAGAACAGAATCGGCAATTACCAGAGTTTGACCCCCGGCGGGTGTGTCGCCGAGTGGGGAAAACCGGTTAGACACATGAACAGGTTGGTGGTGCACCTGGGGCTTCTGTTTAAGACTATGCTTCCTCCTCACCGTCACCCAGCCGCCCTCTTTCCCCAGCTGCCCTCCTGGCCTCCATTTGCAACATTTGTTACAAGTATCATTACTGCTAAAGGAGGCTGAGGAGTAACTAAACATCTGACACAATGAGCAGGAAAGTGCAGGAGGGACAGGTGAAGAGGCCATGCTGCTAGCGAGTCGGCAAAGCTAAGATAGAGAAACAGTAAAGACACAGTGAGTGAATACTTTGGCTATAAATTAGGTAGTGAGTACACGGAGTGTCAAGTCAAACCGAGTTTAGGAGGTGGAGAGTCCTGAGACAAAGAAGTAAAAGTGACAGGCTGGAGGGCAAGCTGGGTGGAACTAATGTTGTGTCTGTTTTTCTGTCCGGGAAGAAAAAGAAGGCGAACTAGGGAACAACAGGAAATTGCCACTAACCCAGTATAATTCTTTCAATGGCCCTTTCTCAATCCTATGTACGCAACTCCATACTCGCGTTCTCGGCGAGTCCGGACTTGCCGAGAACGCGAGCACGGACTCGCGATTTGTACAATTGGAACACCAGCGTATTTGATGATGTCACAGGTCCGGAGTTTTTACTGCCGTCCCCTCTTAATTTAACTGTGAGTAATATGTTATGAAGCTTAACTTTAATCACAGCGAAACAGGTGAGATTTTAGAATGCTTTTATTTTTATTTTAGTGGACACTCAAAAATTACAATAGACAGCTGCTGGGGTTTGGAAGAGAACTGAACAAATATTTGAAATATAATCTGATCATTTTGAAGCAGCCTTCAGAATCTCCACGTATTAACATGCTGATAGGTTTAGTTTGAAAATGTTTCCTCCTGAATTGAAAAATATCTCAGCCAAACCAATTTACTCAGGAACAAATAAAACACTGAAATAAACCAAACATTAACATTTCGATGTTATCTAAGAACTAGGGGTGCAACGATACACAAAATTCATGGTTCGGTTCGATACTTTGGTGTCACGGTTCGATATTTTTTCGATACAAAAAAATGTTCATGCCTTTTTAATTTGTCATTTATTAAAATTATAAATATATATTTTAACTCAAAAGTACAGTTTTTAAATTTAACCCTAACCCTTGTGCATGTTTTTTATTTTGACAGCGAATGCGCACCTGCGGACCACTTATGTGCAGCCCTGGTTATTTAGCTCATCATTTTGCAGCCACAGAAATTCTTTTGTCCATGAAACCATAAAGCTGCACTTTCTTTTTGCCTTATAGTCTGATTTGTCATAACTTCTCAGTTTTGTGGTAAGCTTTTCTTTGGCTGTCACTTCTTCACCCTGACCTGTCTTATTTGGCTCAGCAGAACTAAAATATATATCTGTCTGTGAAGGTTCTCAGTCATCCAGGTCATCGTAGTCAAATATATATCCTGCTGCTTTTACACACGGACTCACATAAGCTCAGCGATTCTCTGCGCGATCAACCTCTCACATGTTTAAGCTGCGGGAGATTTCACTTGTCATGTTTGCATAGTAAGCTAACGATTAATAAGACGTCAGAGGAATTGGTGCACAAATTATCATCACTCACAGATCAGTGCTGTCGCTCTCTATACACAGTTCGCCCGATTGCAAAGTGAAAGCAAAAAACAAGCGCAAATTCAAACGCGATTTCAATATGTCACATATTG